CCCAGAGCCAGGCAGCAGCCTGAAAGGACCTGGGACACTTGGGGAGGAACTAACCTGCCTGAAATTGGGGTGAGAGATGGAGGGGCAGCTTCCTCCCAGGCAGAAGAGCTGGCAGAGGCCATGGCTCCTTTGGCGAGTCCTCCCCACACAAAGCGGGCACACAGGCACCATATTTGAATCTCCAGCACCTGACTCACACCTTTGGCCCCACCCCTTGATTCCTGGAGGCCCAGCCCCTCCCCACCTGCAGGCTCATCCAAACCATTTTCAGTGGCTTTTCTATGCAAGTGGCCTCTCGCGCCTTATGCTTAGGACTTGCCTAAAACCTCTCAAACAAGCAGCAGTGTGCCCCACATGGCTTGATAAGTGGCAGCTGGCCTGGAACTAGTGCCAGCCTGCATTGGTTCATAGCTTGGCCTCTCCTGGATGCCTCCAAGCTCAGCACAAGTAGCAGCCAACTACGGTTTGCTGTGTAGTTCATGCTGGGTGGCCCTGGGAAAGGCACTGGCACAGGCTGACTTTGCACCTTCAGGGAGGGCCCAGAAACAGTGCACCTGGTGGTCACACTCGACCACACTGGATTACAACCCTACCACATCCACGAGTGACACACTCAAGGGGCGGACTTGGAAAACACCAAATCGCCACTGAAGTAAATCCTGCTCCACAGGAGTGTCTCCAGCACAGCAGCTCTTTGAATGTAGTTTCAGCTGGTCCTCACAGCTGATTGGCCTGGGAGTCAGCTCCTCGCAATGACATCAATAGCAACCAAGGCTCAACTACAACAGGACAGTGCACACAGCCCACACAGGGGAGCACCAAGAAGGCCCAGCTCAGGTGACTGGGGAGGCTGAGCCACTGGACCCTACAGAACACTATTACACAAAGCCACTCTACAAATTCCAGAAGACATAGCAGCTCTACCTAATACATAGAAACAAACACCGAGAAGCAGCCAAAATGTGGAGGCAAAGAAACATGTCACAAAGGAAAGAACAGGAAAAATCTCCAGAAAAGGAACTAAATGAAATAGAGCCATACAAGCTACTAGATAGAGTTCAGAATTATGGTTAAGGATGCTCAAGGATATTAGTAAGACTATTAAGAAAACAAGTGAGACCATCGATGACATAATAAAGTACCAATTTGAAATGAACGCTACAGGAACTGAAATGAAGAATAATTTACAGGGAATCAACAGTAGAGTAGAGGACGCTGAGAATCAAATCAGCAATTTGGAACATGAGGAAACAAAAAACACCCAACCAGAAGAGCAAAAAGAAAAAAGAATCCAGAAATATGAAGATAGTATAAGGAGCCTCTGGGACAACTTCAGATGGCCCAAGATTTGTATTATTGGGGTGCCAGGAGAAGAAAGAGAGCAAGAAATTGAAAACTTATTTGAAAAAATAATTACAGAAAACTTCCCCTACCTGGGGAAAGAAATAGACTTACAAGTCCAGGAAGCACAGAGGGTCCCAAACAAGAGGAACCCAAAGAGGCCCACACCAAGACACATCATAATTAAAATGCCAAAGGTTAAAGACAAGAGAGAATCTTAAAAGCAGCAAGAGATAAACAGTTAGTTACATACAAGGGAGCACCCATACGACTTCCAGCTGATTTCTCAACAGAAACCTTGCAGGCCAGAAGGGAGTGGCAAGAAATATTCAAAGTGATGAAAAACATGGAACTACAACCAAGATTGCTCTACCCAGCAAAGCTATCATTTAGAATTGAAGGTCAGATAAAGAGCTTCTCAGGCAAGGAAAAGCTAAAGGAGTTCATCACCACCAGACCAGTACTATGTGAAATGTTGAAGGATCTTCTTTAAGAAGCTAATGAACAAAAGAATCTGACAGACTAAATAGATCCAGAGACACTGAAGCATGCAACGGACAATCATATTTCAGAGGAAAAAGGGAAGGGGGGTGGAGGGTGGGAAGAGATTAACCAAAGAAGTTATATGCATGTGTGCATAACCTATGGACACAGACAATGTGGTGAAGGCCTGAGGAGGGGGTGGGAGGGAGGTGAAAGGGGTCAATTGGGGCAAAAAAAATGGGACACCTGCAATACTTTCAACAATAAAGGTAAATTTTAAAAAAAAGAAAAAGAATATGGCCCTAGCCTGTTTGGCTCAGTGGTTAGAGTATTGGCCCATGGACTGAAGGGACCTGGGTTTGAATCCAGCCAAGGGCATGTATCTCAGTTGCAGGCTTGATCCCTGGCCCCATTTGGGAGGCAACCAATCGATGTGTCTTTCTCACCTCGTTTCTGATGCACTCTCTCTCATTCTCTCCCCCACTTTCTGAAAACCAATGGAAAAAAATCTCCTCAGGTGAGGATTAAAAAAAACCCAATATGGAGGTTCTCCAAAAATTATAAATAAAACTATAATATAATCGGAAATTCCACTTCTGGATATATATCCAAAGGAAATAAAAACAGGATATAAAAGAGGTATATACACTCCCATGTTTACTTCAGCATTCTTCACAATAGTCAAGATAGGGAAACAAGCTAAGTGCCTGTTTACAATGAATGGATAAAGGTACAGTATATGTCTACAATTCATTCAACCATGAGAAAAAAGGAAATCCTGCCATTTGCCATAACATGGATGAACCTCTGGGCGTTGTTAAGTGAGATAATTCAAAGAAAGAAAGACAAATACTATATAATCTCACTTATATGTAAAATCTAAAAAAGCCAAATTCATAGGAACAGAGTAGATTGGTGGTTACCAGGGGCTGGGGCCTGAGAGAATTGGGGCGATGTGATTTAAGGGTACAAACTTGCAACCAGTAGATACATAATTCCTGGAGATATGATGAACAAACAGCATAGTCTTTAGAGACAATACTGCATTATAAACTTCAAAGTTGCTAAGAGACTAGGTCTTTTTTTAAAAAATATATCTTTATTGACTTCAGAGAGAGGAAGGGAGAGGGGGAGAGATAGAAACATCAATGATAAGAAAGTCATTGATTGGCTACCTCCTGCTTGCCTCCAACCGAGGATCAAGCCCGCAATCCGACCGGGAATCGAACTGCAATCTCCTGGATCCTAGGTGGATGCTCAACTGCTGAGCCACGCCCAGCTGGGCAAGAGACTAGATCTTAACTCTTCCCACCGCAAAAAACAAATAATTATGTGATGTGATAGAAGTGTTAGCTAACACCTGTTTTTCCACATTCCCAACAAACTTTGGATTGGATGCATGTTTAAACTCCATAGACAAAATGTGCCTTGGCAATCCTCATTTATGTTTCTTTCTAAATGCTTCCTGTTTGTAGGAAGAATGAGCAGTAGTTCCTAGTTGTGCTAGTTGCTACGAGGAGCACGCCCTCTGGTGGCCCCCGACTGATATGCAGCCAGATAAAACAGTCACAGAGTGCTTCAATGACATTGCTTTCCTACTACAGGTTTAGTGGCAGAGCACACATGTTAAAGAGCAAACTTTTTAAAATCCACACTAGATCTTAATGCATTATTGTGTTTGAGGGGATAACACTATCCTTAGATTGAAAGGACAAAACATTTGATCACAACAATTATCTTACTCCTGCCTAAGATGTAGGCAATTCAAGTATGCCAGAGCTTTTTAAAAAAGGATACCATCCCTATATCTTTTTTTTTTTTTTTGTCTTTATTGATTTTAGAGAGAGGAATGAGGAGGGAGAGAAGTAGAAACATCAATGATGAGAGAGTTGTTGATCGGCTGCCTCCTGCATGCCCCCAACTGGGGATCGAGCCTGCAACCCAGGCATGTGTCCTGACCAGGAATGGAACCACGATCTCCTGGATCCTGGGTCGATACTCAACGACTGAGCCACGGCAGCTTGGCCCTATATCTTGATAGCTTTCAAAAGGGGATGGAACTTCCACAGCAACCCAAATTAAAGGGGCATCACCTTCCAGAGCACGTAACATTTCATGAAGTAGTATTTAAGCTAGCTTTACAAGATGAGAAGGATTTCAATAGGCAGGCATAGAGGGAAAGGTATTTTAGACAGAGGGAATTTTTTGCAAGCATTCAGTGCTCACGGTGCTGATGGCATTTGAAGAATGACTAGTACCCTGGTTTGCTAGAGCGTACTGAGTGAAAGGGAAAACTCAGAACGGAAGATAAAATGGTATTTGAACTTTATTTTGTAAGCAAAGGGAAATCATTTAAGGCAATGAGCAGGGAGGAAAGAACATGAGCAGGGCTTGGTTTAGGAAGATTATTCTGGTGGCAACATGTAAACTGAATTGAAGCTAAGAAAGCTACAGGCAAGTGACTACCTAGAAGGTTACCAGAATGGAGGAAGTGAGGAGTAATCAAAGTTCACATTTCAACCATGAAGGCAGGTGTCAATGTGTAACTGGGGGAGTTGGGCTAAAAAATGATTGTCTACATTTTTTCCCAAACAAAACCTGAGGATTAGGTTACAGTTCTATCAGTGACAGTGCCTCACAACTCAGTAAAGTAAAAAAGGCCACAGTTGGGAAACCATCTAACCCCTACCGTTAGAGATCAAATGGGGAGGGATAGCAAAATCTCTAGAGAGAGCAATGTGTTACTTTACAAAAAAATTTTTAAAAAAAGGCAAGCACCCAAATCATTGTGATTCATCTCCTGTAATAATCACTGAGTGAGAACTCCAAGGTCCTCTAGCTTCCAAAGTCTATGACTCACTTTAGTTCTATCTCTTACACTGATTCCTTTCATTTATGCTGATTATAGTTTGGGATGTAAGAGGTGGCCTAGATCATGAAGATAATTTGAGGCAAATGAAATTAACAGAACTAGCAGATAAATAATGAATATAAATGATCTCTATTAGGAGTGCTCTATGGGTCTAGAACATGAGCAGAGATGTAGCCTCAATTCCTTAAGAGCCCCTATTTCTTGAAAAAGAATAACTATGTCATTTTATTACCTACTGGCCCATTCATATTAAATTTAAAAAGGGTAATGAAATAGGAAAATTAAAAGATAAAAGAGACACTACCTTTTTTCACATTTTTAATTACCATTATTGCACCAATACAGCATATGCTTTATATACATATAATCTTAAACTTCAGTATCAACTTTTCAGCAATTCAAATACATAATATATTATCATCTTGAGAATACAAAGAACACAACGTGAAGGAAGATTGAGAAAATAGGTTCCCAATAGTCACTAGTGATTCTACAGACTTTCCTTTTAGTGTTTTCTATGGAATTTTAAAATGTCCTGCCATGGCTCTCTAAGAATAGAGCTGCCTGGAAGGCGAAGCAATGAAAAGAAATGGACCCAAAGTTAAAAGGAGTCAAGAAGTAAATCCAGGAGAGAGAATATATTTTGAAAATAAACATAAGGACTCCCTTCCGTCAAAATGTACACATCTAAATAGGTACTAAGGGAAGAAATTGTATCTTTTCATTTTATCCTCAAAACTGTTCATGAACAAACAGATAGTGCCCAATCATCTAAGAAAGGGAACTCTCTTCACAGCATTGTAGAAGGAATGATGGGCAGAGGGAAAGGAAAGTGTTGGGAGAGCAACTTGCTTTGAGATACCCTGGGTGATGGGTATTAAAGCCGTCATTTGAGCAAAACCTATCATAGCTAAAGCAGTGACTCTCCAGCTTCCTTCATAAGTGATGATTCATGTAATAGCAGCTTTTCTATTGAAGAGCTAGATGGATTGAAAAATGTTTACGGAAAGGGACCAGATACCCAGGCAGCAAGGCAAAGTGGGTACTGAACAAGAGTTAAATGCTTTCAACCTCTGCTCTGCAAATCAGGTTAAAAACTCTAACCCTTCAACTTTAGGTCAAAGTACAGCAATTAAATGGAGCTACAAGGAAGTACAGCAGGTCCTTTAATAATGTAATTTTGTTATGCTGATGAGATGCTGTAGGAACTTAACTCTTGTTTATATCAATTAGCCTATGATAAAACTGGTTTTTTTAATGAGCGGTTTAGCTTAAAGTCACAGAACCTATTGACATCCTTAAGTGAGAACTTACTGTAAACACTTCTCTAGAATATAACTTGGAAAACACTTGAACCTCCTTCATCCAAGAGACACCCACTGATCAAAGACGTTACACTATTCAACAAACAAGAATAGTGGAGATGCCACCAATACAACCCTCTTATCATAGGAAGAGACATGTAAACACATGAGGGTGACGGAACTGCACTCAGCACTGGATAGTCACTGAATAGGATTAACCTGGAGGAGGACATATGGCAGAGACCCGCGACACAGGTTTTTCTTCATTCCTATCCCTGTCAAAATTCTGTATTTGTAAACACTGAGGTCAGTCTATTTTCAGAATCTTGGGTGAGTGGAAAAGGAAGTATCAAGGCTTTTGTCTCCCCTGAAATTGCTAAATAGGGCTTCACAAAGAGGCACACAAGGGTCATGAGATGATTCTGAAATATGTTAAAGAATTTTAAAAATGGAGAAAAATTCTGCAGATGTTAGGTGTCATTTTCCCCTCACAGAGACCCTGGCCTTTGGAGCACTGCATAGTCAGCCATGTGTATGATAAGACCCACTATTCCCCTGCCTTGATAGTGAGGAGAGAAGAGATACTTTCTTGGCTGTACAAGTAACAACACAGGGGAGTGACAGAACGCAATGGAGAAGCTATAAAAAAGATTGTCCAGTAATTTTGGTTCTGAGGAGAGTAGGGATCCCTAACTTCCCTCACAGATTGGTGCCCTCAAGGTCATTTTTTCAATTCTGTCCTTAATGTCCTGCCAATGCTATTCAGAACTGGACCCAGTTGGATGGCTGTGGTGCCTGGTTTGAAACAGAGCTGCAAGACAAAATAGAGAGAAAGCCAAAGGCATAATATTAGGATAGCTACTCCATTCTTTACTTAACAGTTTCAAAGAAATCACTGCTCAGAATTTCTGAAACTACTTCCCAGCAATCCTACTTACCAAGGACTAAAATATCCCACTCAGACTTCATTCTACAGTTTTATCTCACCATCCCCAGCACTTCTATACTTCCTTAGAATTCCTGCCAAAAACTCTGTATAACCTACAAATGCTGTTTTCCCAGATCAAAGATTTCATCTGACTGTACATATCATTCATACCCTGACTGAGACTATGTTGGTTTCACTATGCTTGTACCTGGATGCAGTGCTAAAGTCTCCCCACAAATCATTGCTTGCAGAAACTGGAGCTGGTGCTGGTGTGGGAACAGGAGCAGGAGATTCCAAATCTAAAAGGATATCTGAATATAAGGCAAGAGAAGAAGAAAAAAAAGAGGAGAAACAAAATAAAAAATATTAAAAATGAAAGCGTATGTTCACAGAATCTATATACAGCAGCTTTCTTTGTAATAGCCAAAAACTGAAAACAACCTAGATGTCTTGACATGGGTGATGGTTAAACACACTGTGGCACATTACTACTCAGCAATAACTAGGAAGAAACTATTGATATACACAACTTGGACAAATCCCAAGGGAATGATGCTGCGTGAAAAAAAGCCAAGCCCAAATGTTCTATGCTATGATTCCATTTACATAACATTCCCAAAGTGACAAAATTACAGAGATGGAGAACAGATTAGTAATTGCCAAGAGTTAGAGACTGGGGAGAGGATGGGGATGAGGGAGAGGAGAAGAAGCTAGGAGGAAGGTGTGGTTATGAAAGAATGACACAAGGGATCCTTGTAGTGATAGAACTATTCTGTATGCTGACCATGATGGTGGATCCAGGAACCTACATATAATAAAACTGCACAGAACTAAATACACACATACGCACAAAAGAGAACACATAAAACTGATGAAATCAAAGAAAGAATGTCAGTTTCCTAGTTGTGATATTAGACATAGTTTTGCAAAATGTTACCATTAAGGGAAACTGAGTAATGGGTACAGGGTTTTCTTTGCATTATTTTTACAACTGCATGTAAATCTACAATTATCTCAAAATAAAAAGTTTCATTTAAGCCCTGGGCCTGGTGTGGCTCAGTTGGTTGGAGTGTCAACCCATACACCAAAAGTCACAGGTTTGATTCCCGGTCAGGGCACATACCCAGGTTGTGGGTTTGATCCCTGGTCAGGGTGCATATGGAAGGCAACTGATCGATGTCGCTCTCTCTTTCCCTCTTCCTTCCTCTCTCTCTCTAAAATCAATAAAAACATATTCTTGGGTGAGGATTAAAGGAAAAGTTTAATTAAAAAAAATTTTTTTAATAAATCTTATATATTATCCCTAGCCTTCCAGTGATACTTTTATAACTCACGGATTGTAATATCTGGTTTCCTAGTCTTAGGAAAATTCCTTTCTGAGTTCTAATATTCTCATTCTTTAAATGTAAATAACTATATGTGTTCTTTTTCCCACTCGATAGTAAGGAAGAACAAAAATGCATTCACAAACCCAGATGTCTCATTTCCTCTCAATTGCCTTCTTGAAGAAATGGGAAGGATTAAGAATTAACATTTACTGAATGGCTACTAGGCTTCTAGTACTGTGCTCAGTGCAGTTCATCATTTAATCTCCATAATCCTGGGATAGTTTTACTTCTCTATTTTGCAGATAAGGAGACTGAAACTCAAAGAACTTAAGTAATGTCACCAAGTACATTCAGATATAGAGTAGCAGAGCCATGTCTAAAACTTGGTCCATCTGACTCTCAGGCCTACTAGCATCTAACCAAGGCATAATGAAGGAAATCGTCTTTTTAATATCTACCCATTTTCTGCAAAGAACCTACCAGATACCATTATTCTCAGTTCACCAGAAAAGCTTTGGTCCCTTGCTAGAGGCTACATGAATCACCTTTTCAGTACCAAGTGGCATTTAATAGAAAAAACATCAAGCCCAGCTGGCATGGCTCAGCGGTTGAGCATCTATCTATGATGCAGGAGATCGTGGTTCAGTTCCTGGTCAGGGCACATGCCTGGTTGTGGGCTTGATCCCCAGTAGGGGTCGTGCAGGAGGCAGCTGATCAATGACTTTCTCATCACTGATGTTTCTGTTTCTGTCTCTCTCTCTCTCTCTCCCTCTCCCTTCCTCTCTCTGAAATCAATAAAGACATATTTAAAAACAAAAACCATCAACATTCTCCTTGGCAAACAGGTGTTATCCAGTTATAACCTCAGATATGATTTCTGAAAGTTAAAAGTATTAGAGAGATTTACCTGCATCACTACCTCCATGGTTAGATTTCGGAATGGGTGGTGGAGTGACATGATTGCTGATGGCAACTGAGGAGGATGGTGGAGGAACAGTAACTTTGCCTCCAGGTGGGGGAGGGAGTAAGCTTAGGCCTCCAGTCCCTGCAGTCTTGGGCTTTGAAGTGCCTCCTTTCTTGGTTGTAATGTTCTATAAAAGTAAAAGGAGGGAGAGTGAGAGAGAAAAAGAGGAGTCACAGGCCTCTGAAAAATACAGAAAGGGAGAGGGGGAAAACACACTCACCCCAATACTCAACTTGATGGTCTGCCCTTCCTTGAAGCCCAGATCCAACTTGGGACGGGTGTCCATCTCCTGAGATTCTTTGGAAATCTCAGATTCCTGCTTTACCCACCTTCAGCAAAAGAGTAAGTTATCTTAATTTGGGATTCCCTGAAAACAGAGTTTTACACACAAATATGAGCGTAGCTAATTTATGTAAAATAGGATTCCAGAAAGCAAAGTGAGAGAACATGAAGAGCTGAGAAAGAAAAGCCAAGAAAGAAGGCAACTAGGGCTCAATACCACTGAAAAACCAAACAGAATGTGTATTAAACTTGTCCATCCAGAGGGCATTTAGCCACCAATTCCCACCCCCCAAAGTTGAGGGCTGCTCCTGAGGGGTGTTAACTCCTCAGTTCTTCCAGGCTACACCCCTGTGCTGAGTGGCCTTCCCAACTTCAGAGAGTCCTGAGGCAGAAAAGTAGAGAGAGGTATGCCTGCCCTTGAAGTAGGAAGCAGACAGTGTGCATGGTACTTTCCACTACAGCTATGCCAAAGTCAGGTGGGCTGAAGAAATGGTGCAATAGGCACAAAACATGTCAGTTACATGAAGTAACAAAACTGGCACTTAACTCCCCACACATCTTACATGCAGCCATGCTGTTACTGTATGCCTCCCTCAGTCACCAAAAACAATGGCAAATTCCCCAGAGGCATAAACAAAAGCATCATCTCAAACCATTGTACAAGGAATCTAAAACATATTCCGGGCTATAAGAATAAAATAGATGTGAATATCATGTAAGGAAACAGAGTGAATGGGAAAATTTATATTCATAATAAACTAGTTTACCAAATAAAGCAGCCAGGAGGTAAAAGAGATAGTGCCCATTCAACTAAGAAACAGCTTTCCCAAAACCATTCAACCTGGTAACTAAGGATGAGCTTCACTCACTTGAAGTGATCTTGCAAGGAGACATTAAAGTCAAAGGCATCACCCCGATCTGTGAAACCAATGCCAATGAAAGCGCTGCGTCCTGGGAAAAAGATAGGAATACTTAGAAGTGTCCTTATGGCAAATTCTACCCAATGAAAACATAAGTTATTCTACCTGAAGTCTAGGAATGTGAATCATTTTCCCCCAGACCAGAGGTCCACAAAATACATAGATAGAGCCCTTGTTCAAATGCTGCCGTAGCTTGCTTTTGTAAGTAAAGTTTTACTGGAACACAGACACACCAATTTGTTTACATATGGCTGCTTTTACACTACAACAGCAGAATTGAGTAGCTGCAATAAAAGAGCAACCTCAAATATTTACTACCTGTCTCTTTATAGAAAAAGTTTGCCAACCTCTGATATTGACTATGGAGAAAAGATAATGGTTGCCCCAGATATGGGTGACTTAAGATAGTCCCACCACAACCCACCACAAACAACAAATGGGCAATACGTGTAAATCCTTTTGTTATACATTTTGATTTATTTACATCTACCTACTAATTACGTCTTGAATTTGTATTTATATCTATTACAAATAATATGTTAATCCTCCTTTAGCAGCTATAGTTAACTGTGGAGAAAGAGGAGGAAAAATTTAGTAAACTGAAGCGAGATAAATGCAATCGGGACACCTTTTCATTGAAGTGCATCAACTATTTTCCTAATCTCACCCCATTCCAAATCTCACATCCCTTACCAGTACCATCCTGGATCCGGATTACAAAGTAGCGGCTGGAATCTGTCACTGTCTCCACAGCAATACCAGGGTACTGTTCTACTGGTGCCTGAGCAAAGAGTTCCCCTGACAGGTAAGAAAAAGACTTCTTTGAGCAAAGGAAGCAAAAATCTGAAACTCCACTTAACAAGTATTTCCATTTCAGTCCCCAACTTGAAGGTACTTACAAAAGCATACCAAAACAATATCCTTAGTATGTTAAGAGCCACCAGCATAGATTACCTGAAACTTTATCCTCGAGTTTGATATAAGCAATCTTCCCTTTTGAAGTGATTCGGAGGCGACCAGTCCAATCAGGCTGGTCTAATTTCCAGTCAGATGCCCTACGACAGGAAAATGGGAAGCCTCAGGCCTCGGGTCCATGTCTTTAATATACTGACAAACTACACAGAATTGTTTGCCATATTTCTATTTTCCTGTCCTGGATTACTTATTCTTTCCACCTATTAAATAATCAACAAAAATAGCTCATGATCCCCTCTTTAAAATGTCTCCTGTTACATACAGTCCAAAACAAATAAAGACAATGTTACTATTAGAGGACTCTGGAGTCCAATAATATTATCTTTCATTGAATTCAACCAATATTTACAGTTATTGTTCTAGGTGTTTAGGATACAACAGCAAATAAAACAAAGACCCCTGTCCTTGTGAGGCTTACATTCTAATAAAAAATAGGCACCCGGCCAGCGTGGCTCAGTGGTTGAGCATCGACCTATGATCCAGGAGATTGCAGTTGGATGCCCGGTCAGGCACATGCCTGGGTTGCGGGCTCAATCCCCAGCAGGGGACGTGCAGGAGGCAGCCGATCAATGACTCTCTCTCATTGATGTTTCTTTCTCTCTCTCTCCCTCTCCCTTCCTCTCTCTGAAATCAATAAAGATATATTTAAAAATAAATAAATAAATAAAACTAAAAAAAAAAAGGACAATAAAAAAGAAACATACTAAGTAAAATAACTAGTAACTCAGGAGGTGATAAGTACTAATGTAAAAAGGAAAAGCTGAGGCAAAAAAGGGAGATTGGGAGGGTAGTAGGAGAGTAAAAACATGCTGCAGCAATCAAGAGGGTGGTCAGAGTAGGCCTTATTAACAAGGTGAAATGTGTGTAAAAACGTGAAGGAAGTGAGAGCAAAGATGCTAAGGTAGGAGCCTGCCTGGAATGTTTGCCCTCAAGCAAGGAATAAAGAAAGAGATGAGGTGGGGGAGCTAAGAGAGGGCCTATTCATGAAGGACCTTATAGGCCACTGCAAGAACTCTGGCTCTGCCCTAGCCTGTGTGGCTCAGCTGGTTGACCGTCATTCCATACACCAAAAGGTCACTGATTAGATTCCCAGTCAGGGCACATGTGCGGGTTATGGGTTTGAGCCCCAGTTAGGGGCATGCAAGAGGCAGCAAATAGATGTTTTTCTTCTCCCTTTCCCTTCCTCTCTCTCTAAAAAAATCAATATAAACATATTTTTAAAACAACAACAAAAAACTCTGACTTTTACTGAGTGAAAGAGGAGCCTTTACAGGTTTTAAGCAGAGGTGTGACATGATCTCCCTTTTATTTTAAAAGAATTCCTTTCTGCTGTGTGTAGAAGCAGTGTAAGGATATAAGTGCTGAAGCAGGGGGATTAGTTAGGAGACTACTGCAGCAATCTAGAAGAGTCATGATGTGACCAGGAAGAAATAGTAGCAGAAGTGGCTAGATTCTGGATATATTTAAGGTAATGGCAGCAAGACTGCCTAACAGACTGAAGAGAAAGAGAGAAGTCAAGGATGACTCCAAGGTTTATAGCCTTAGCAAAGAAGTTGCCAATAACCGAGATGAGGAAGACTATATTGGTAGCGCATGTCTGGGAAGAACGATCAGGAGTTTCGGATATGCTGAATTTGAGATGTCCAGTAGATTTTCAAGAGAAGATATAGAGTAGACAGCTGAATATATGAGTCTAGAGTTCATAAAAGACATGTGGACTAGAGATACAAATGTTCATGAAACACTAGAAAACACTGAATATTTATCATCTGTATCATAAATGAATTTGAATGCAATCTAAACATTCAAATATGACCAATTTTACAAAACAATGCATTTGTGATTCTCTTTTGCCAGGAGTGTGGAAAAAGGAGGGCAAAGTAAAAGTTATTAATAACTTATCCCTTTGGGACCTGAGGACTAATACGTCCAGGTTAGAAAGGTAACAACAGGGTATATCTGAACAAGAATGAGTTTAACAATAAGCAAAAGGTGGAAAGGAGAAAAGTGAAAATTAAAATTAGCACAGGTTTTACAGGATTTTTAAGGTAAATCCTTGTCATGCCCTTCTCTTGATGCCCTGCTCTCAAAGACCCTTAAGTACCTGAATCTGATCCAGATTAGAGTGCTGTAGAGGTCCCAACTATTAATTTTTAATTGAGTTGTTACTTATTCAACCATACCACAAGAGCTAGAGATAGTGAAATGGCTATTGAAAATATTAGAAACCAGCCTACTAGATGTGTTTCTTTGGCCAGGTTCCTTCTCGTATTTATCATGTGTGTCTAGTGGTCCATACTTAACAAATTCTGAATAAGTGAGCGGATATTCATGGCAGCAGTTTCCCTCAGTCTTTAGCCTTTAGCTTTAGTTCCTCTCCCACTCCCAAGGCCTAGCCTGAAGAATTCTTGGTTTTGCTGGTTTTCTGACAATATTCTAAACTGACCTCACAAATTTTCATTTACCTTAGCAATAAATCCTTACAGCAGTCACATGGAATAGGCATGAAAACCCTATTATCACTTTCTCTCTCTCTCTAAATGAAGGGAAGAATAATTATACAGTAACTAATAATGTCTAAGTTCAAAGTCCAGCATTCTTTTCATTACACTAAAACACACTAGAATTTAATATTAATTTCACTGGGGAGAAAGGCAGTAATGAATTTATAGCTTGGGAAACCATTTTCTAGCTATTTATAAAGTTTCTCATCAACCTAAATTTTCCTTCCATTTGTCTGGACAGTGAAAGTCTGGAAAGCAACAGCTTACATTAGGTGAATCCAAGTCATTTATTCCCTCTGATATTATTAATCACTAAAAGAAAGGATTTCTCCTGCTCCCTAAAAAAAAAACAGTTTTTCCTTTAATGGTAGCTTAGAGAATAAATCATGCTCATAATGTAAAGTGGATTCTGATATACAACAAAAAAAAGATTATGCAGACAAGACAGAAAAGTAATATTTATCAAGCATTTATTACGTGTCAGTCATCATGCCCACTCGTATGAAAATTAAGTGAGAGGATCTTGCAAGGTAATTAGTATTATATCCATTTTTATAGATGAGGAAACTAAAGCTCTAAAGAGTTAAGTGACTTGCCAAGGGTAACCCAGCAAATAAATAAGAATCACGATTCAAACTTAGTTCTGCTCCACTCACTCACTACACTAAAAAAGGAAAATTAAGAAATTGCTTTGATGGCTCAATGCAGTTAACTGACATAAGGATAAAGGCTGTGGATAATCTACGAAATGAGATAGAGAATGCAGATAGGGAGAGAAGGTAGGTCTTTTAAAAAGCCTGAAGTAGAAGAAAAGGAATTGAACCCCACTACAATGTGTATCACATCCTTCAGGAAATCTTAACACCTAAAGTTGAAAGGCTTGAGCTATTTCCCTTATTTAACACTTTCGGTCAATGCTAATTTGTGTGATTAAGTATAATCTTCTAATTTCTTCTTACAGTCAACATTTACAGAGTGCCCACTATGTGTCAAACAAGATCAAGTGTTCATAGTCTTGTCTGGAGATACAGGAGACCAAATAATCAATTACAATACAGACGGAAAGGCACTATGAGAGAGACAAGCATAGGTGCTAGGGAAGCACAGAGAGCACACCTAAGCCAGAATGGAAGGGTCCAGGGGGGCTTCCAAAGAAGGCGTCTCAGATGAGTCACACATACAGTACTACCATCAAAAAGCATGTAGATTCCTATTCATGCTCAATCTGGGGTCTGACTGAAAGCTTGAAATTAGGGCTGTCTCTTTGCCAAAAGGGCACAATTTACAGCGTTTAGTGCATAGGTCAGCAAGCACAAAGATATTGATTTATGAGGAACAAACCTCTGCTACAAAGGCAAAATAATGGACATAGGGAGAGGATAACTTTTCAGCCAAGGAAATAATAAATGCCAAGAGGAAAATCATAAAGATGATATGGATCAGAGAGAGGAATAAAAACAGTATCATATATTTATATACTGCTTTACTGTTTCCTAAATTCTTTCACATGTATTATATGATTTCATTTAACTCTCCAAAAACTTCTGTGAAGTACATAATTACAGCAGGTTTTATTATCATTGGTTTTTTTTTCTGTTTTACAGATGAGAAAACTGAGGCTTGGAGAGGTTAAGAGCTTTGTCCAAAAATCATACAGCAGTTAAATTGCCAGGGCTCATAGTCATACTTTTCTAACATGTACCCACTGAGTTACATGTTAACTCTTTCCACTACTGATTTCATAACTTCCTACAGCATCCTCAGACCTTCGCAGTCATTTTATAGCCAGGTGGTTGGTTAGTCCTACAGAGTAAATGCTGTGTTAACTCTGAAGGGAAAGGCTATAGGAGAGGATAAGTGGAGAGGGAGTTAAGAAGATTGAAAATACTGTATAAACATCAAGAAAATATGAAAAGAAACAAAATGGACAACCACTGGAAAACCTAGGATCATAACCTTTGCCCACAGGCAAAAGATGTGAAAAGAAAACCAATTGGTGGATGATGACATTTGGTGGCAAGACTGACAACTGCACAAAAGATAAAATGGATCATACAGAGAGTGGGCAAGAAAACAATGATTATCCACAAACGTGCACGTAGTATTAGAAATGGCGGGGGCAGAGGGGGATGAGGGTGACAAATTCAAGGGCGCAGGGAAGAAGGAACGAAAGGTGACTGGAGACGGAGCAGGCAGAACTGGATGTGGGTGATGGGACGCGGGCGGATGTCCCTGAAGGGTCCGGGGGAGGAAGGACTGGAGGGAGCAGGATGGTAATTTTTTTAAAGCGGTGTAAACAAGGATGATGGCAGTCAGGAGTTGGGGAAGAAAGGACAGGGCGGTAACATCCCAGGTGGGGAGGCTAGCAAGGTGACAACCCAGAGATGGGGCAGTGGCCTTGACGAGCGGCGTGCTACCTGGGAAGGAAACTGTCATCCCCGACCGGGTACGCGTGTGCTGCAGTGCCTCGGAGTTAGTACCTGTAACCGCGGTTGGAGGCCCGGGGCGGAATCCGGTAGACGCTGATATCGGGCTTCACACACAACACAGACTCATACTCCACCTCCGCCGCCATCTTGGCTCTGCTCGCCGTGCCACTGGGGGCGGGGCGTAGAAACGGGGGCGGTATGGGGGCGGGGAGTGTCGGGACGTGACAACTTCCACTTACGTTACTTCCGTTTAACTTGGTTCCGGAGCGGGTTGGGAAGCCATATTAAAACCTGGAAACGGTGAAGCTGCGCGGCTCCCATCTTAGGTAATGGCAGAGATGCCATCCTAGTGCGTGACTCACATTTAGGCAATCTCCGTTCCCGAGAGGTAACGGGGGCAGCGCCATCTTGCTTCCGTCAGGGACCCGCGATGCTCTGAAGGACGAGGACTACCTTGAAATCTGGCGGGTTTTTCTGCCGAGAGTCACTTCTTGATCATAGTTTCCTGGCAGAAATTGGCCTGTCGGTAATTCCCAACCTAGAGGAACTGTATGATCCAGTCCTGGACGCGGTGGATTTTAACCCGTCGGAGCCTAAACGTTAAAAATGCCCAGCCTGATTAATTACCGCATAGCGCCATTGTTTCTACTATTTTCCACAACAGCACCTGTTGAAATACTGTGCTGCACTTTCAGTTGTGTATTCTGGTTATCTTTTTGGAAAATTTGATCCTGTTCAACTTTTAAGGGGGATCAACCCTTAACAAATACAGGAAGCATAATAAACTATTTCATGGCTCCTATTTGTCCCCAGTTCTGTTATAATGATAACAACCTACTGAGCTCTATAAATAATGTTCCCATGCGCTCCAAATGTAAACTTGCCACAACAGTTACAATTAAAACAATTAAGCACACATAGCAAATGGCAAAACCAAGATAGAACTCAAGTAATATTTTCAATAGTAAAGATACATTTAAAAACAAAACAAAAAAAGTATGTACAATGTTTATTACAACGTTGTTTATAATAGTGAAAAAATGGAAACAACATGAGTGTCTATCAATTGAACTTGGTTAATGGCATATTCATTACCATGGTTTTCTTTGCAATGTATATGTTAAGGCCATAGAAAGAGATTCAAGATTTAAAGCAAAACAACAAAACCCTTTCACTTAAAATTTCAGTAATCCTCAACTGTTTCCCTAAATTGCCGGTTCTTCATACCTTTCCTTCCGTGCATCAAACTTTCTACCTTAAACACTCTCCCCAGCCTGTCAATTTGAGGAACTGATACATTCACGTATCAGCTAAAATAATACCTGCTCTCTGACTTTCCTGGGACCTGTAGGTGAATTTTCTCTAATGCTTCCACTTGCTTGTGCTATGCCTTTTTGTTGTACCTAATACTTCAAGTATCTCCTACTAAACTATAAGCTCCTTAAAGGCAAGAACTTTGCTTTTTCAGCACCCAGCCAATGCCCTTCACATAGTAGGTAATAACTGTTCAATAATACAAAATTTTTATTTAAATCTAATTAATCAATTTGCCCATTTCCCCAAATTCCCCAATTTCAGAACCCTATATACACTTTGCAAAGAAAATCAAAGAGGCCCTTGACAGTTTGAGGCAGTGGTTAGAGTGCCAGCCGGTGGACTGAAAGGCCCTGGGTTTAATTCTGGCCAAGGGCACATACCTCGGTTGCAGGCTCAGTCCCCTGCCCCAGTTAGGGCATGTGCAGCAGGCAACCAATCAGTGTGAGACACATTGATGTTTCTCTCTCTCTCCCTTCCACTCTCTCTGAAAAGCAATGGAAAAAATATCCTTGAGTGAGGATTAATAAAAAAATTTAAAAAAGTCAAAGAATGTAGAAGGGTATCAAAGAAAAGTGAAGGTCCACGTCTCTATATTATTAACATCTTAATGCCAACAAATAAATAACTTAAATGAAATGGTCATTGATGTACACAACTTGCCTAAAATAATTCAAGAAGACAGAAAATCTGAATAGCTCCATATCTATTAAAGACATTGAATTCATAACTGAAAATCTTCCCAACTGCTTCAGCCAACCTTCTCATTGTTGATCAAATGTTTTAAAAAGAAATAATATAAACCCTGTACAAACTCTCTAATAGAAGAAGAAAAAACACCTTTCAACTAAATTTTATGAGATAATCATTACCTTGATACCAAAACCAGACAAAGATATTACAGGAAAACTGCAGACCAATATTTCCACATGAGCAAAAGTTCTTAACAAAATACCAACAAATCATACATCCAACAATGTGTAAAAAGGACAATACACTACGACTAATTGGGATTTACTCCCTAAGAATTTAAGGTTAGTTTAACATTCAAAAACGAATAAGAATAGCTAATATCTGGAAACAGCCCAAGTGCCCGTCAGTAGATGAGTGGATAAAAAAGCTGTGGGACATTTACACCATGGAATACTATGCAGCTGTAAAGAAGAAGGATCTCATACCCTTTGGGACAGTATGGATGGACCTGGAGAATATTATGCTAAGCGAAATAAGCCAGGCAGAGAAAGACAAACATCACATGATCTCACTTATATGTGGAATCTAAAAAACTTAATAAACTGATGAACAGAATAGATTCAATGACATGGAAGCATGGATCAGACTGATGAATGTCAGAGGGATGGAGGAGGGCGGGTGGGNACAGTGTGGATGGACCTGGAGAAAATTATGCTGAGTGAAATAAGCCAGGCAGAGAAGGACAAACATCACATGATCTCTCTTAATAAACTGATGAACAGAACAGATTCAATGACATGGAAGCATGAATCAGACTGACGAATGTCAGAGGAAAGGTGGGGGTGGGGGGGAAGAGATTAACCAAAGAATTTATATGCATATATGCACAACCCAAAGACAAGGACAATGGTGTGGAGAGGGACTGGGGAGGAGGATTGGATGGGGTGGAACGGGTCTTTGGGGAGAAAAAGGGACATCTGTAATATTTTAAATAAACAAACAAAAAAGAATGAAGCCTATATCTGCTAAATAGAAAAACAAAACAAAACAAAAAAACGAGTAAGTATACTGAAATTAACAGTATAAAGGAAACGTATGTCATCATCCTTCCCCCTGATTCAATACTTATGATAATAAAAACTCTCAGCAAACTAGGAATAGAAGAGGAATTTCTTAGTCTGATAAAGGGCATCTATGAAAAACCTACAAATAACATCATGCTTAATGGTTAAAGATTGTATGCTTTTCTGCTAAGATCAAGAACAAATTGTCCTAGAAGTCTTAGGCAATACAATAGGGAAATAAAAAGAAATTAAAAGTGTACCGTTTGGAAATGAAGAAATAAAACTGCCTTGACTCGTGGGTGACATCATTACATACACAGAAAATACTAAGGGATAATTTGTTCTTTCCCAGCCAAGAAAATTTAAAATACATTGGCAAGAATTTACCTCAACCTACCACTAGGGGGTAGTAGCTACATAATGCAAAAATTCTGGGCTGGAGAATAGATTAACTGCCCTAGAGATAAAGCTAATTTTCTCACGTGTGACTTTCTAAGTGTATGTGACTTAACCAAGTTAAGCACCTTTGTTGAAAACGATGGAGGCCTCATCCATTCAAATCTCAATTACCTCTAGATATAATTTAAACATGGTAAGTCATGGTTTTCTTGACTTATCTCCACACACAAGTCATGTGTAGTACGTAGGTGAAATAGTAGTAAGATGAAATAGTAACATATTTCCCAGCTCTTCCTTCTTTTCCCACACACAAAAAGTTATTTGTCACAGATTTTTAAATTCTGATTTGCCTTCGCTCAGAGTACTGCTATCCATCATAAAATCGTACTTGTTAAAGTATAATTTCTCTGAATACTGGGGTTGCTACAATGCAGTGTCAAAACTCGTAATGAGATCGAATCATAGTTTACATAGCTTTCTTACTTAGAATGGACCTTACTGCCCTTGTAGTTGACATCTCATATTTTGCATGACAGGTTTGAATCCCGGACTTATTAAATCATTTGTCCAAAGACAGTTGATGATGCAGTCTGAATTGGACTTATGACTTACAAACTAACACTCTTCACACCACACTAACACAGGGAGCACCCAAGACACTGGTTCAAAATTAGCAGATATGTATGGTTTTATATGCACATCTATGTTAAGATATATGAAATATTTATTGCAGTATTTTTGTAATAAAAATGGAAACAAATACCCATCAATCTGGAATTGATCAATTCCATAAATAAATGGTACATCTATCAATACAGTATTATGTGCCTGTTAAAAATTAAGATTGATCTATATGTTCTGCTATGAAAAGGTAAATTGATAAGTGAAAACTGCAAGGTACAGAAGAAGTATAGTATTAGGTCATTTGTATAAAAATGAATATACAATATTTAAATGTGATAGGCATAAAGTAGTTATGGAACTATGGCAAAGACTTTTTCTTTTTTTAAATTTTTATTTATTGATTTTAGGGAGAGAGGAAGGGAGAGACAGAGAGACACTCTGAGAGAGAGTGGCACCTATTTGTTGTTCCACTTATTTATGCATTACTTGGTTGCTTCTTGTATGTGCTCTAACCGGGGATCAAACCCACAGCCTTGGTGTATCAGGACAATGCTCTAACCAACTGAGCTACCCAGCCAGGGCTATAGCCAAGACTCTTAACAGGGGCTGTTAGTTCTGGGAAAAGGAAAAGGAAAGGAAACTTTTTTATCTTATACCCTCCTTTATGTTACTCTTATAATAATAGTGATAACTGCCCTGGCTGGTATGGCTCAGTTGGTTAGAGCGTCATCCCTTACACCAATAGGTGGTGGGTTCAATCCCCAGTCAGGGTGAGAGCAGGAGTCAACCAACTGATGTTTCTCTCTCACACCAATGTTGCTCTCTCTCGCTCTCCACCTCTCTCTCTCTCCCCCTCTCTAAAATAATAAAAATAATAATAGTAATAACTTGTAAGAGTAAATCAAGAACTACTTATATAAAATTTCAAAACATGAGAAAAACTATGTATTGCTTATGGAGTCATATATATGTAGTAAAAGTATAGAAAAGTGATTATCTCTGGAAAAAGAGGGAGATAAAAAATTGGGGGAAGGAGTATATATATATTTTTTTTC